GACAGTATACCATAATGAGCTGGTTGACTGTTTAAGCTCATTTTTTTTAATTAAAGATTTTTTTGCATGAGTGTGAAGGACCAAGGACTTTGCAAAGTAATTCTCTTGGCAGCTGTCTTGTCCAGTGTGATGAACAACTTGAGAAACATTCTTCACCAACATACTTATATTATAAAAGAAAATCACGTTGTAATTCCCCATCTTTTAATTTGAATAAAAACTGGACTAATGAAACTCTTCTGCATCTGTTTTGATTTGTGTCACCTTCTGACAGCGAGGAACAAGCTCATCACCCCGCAGGGCTTTTTTCCCTTCCTCTTTAATTACAGCAAATACAAAGCCTGGGTTTACTTTGTGTCCTTTGAGTAGGGCACTGGTACTCACGCGTGCTGATGCTGGAGGAGATGCTGCCCTGATGCCAGACTCTGACTCTCTCCCGAGGTCCGTGCTGCTCCTTTTCCAAGGGCAGTTTAAGGCCATTTAGGTGCTGGGGTGCAGGAGAAGAGCGTTTCTCTTGGGGGTGGGAAAGCCCTTGGTCAGGGCATTGATGGCAGAAGACAGGACCTTTCTATGAATGTGGTTGGGAAGAGAGAAAAACATGAAAAAAGAGAGTTTACCCCCATGGGCTCAATATTTCTTAATAACACCATAAAGTTACACATTTCCTACACCACAGGGAAGATCAACACATTTAAGAAGCAGCACAACTCATTTTGTCTTATGCTTAACGATACGTCTCGCTGAGCTCTAGTTTCCCAGAAATGCTCCTTGTGCCTCATCCGTTAAATGTCTGACATCCAGTTTTCCGTGGGGGATCCTGATGAACAAAGATAAAGACATATTATGGGTTGCTCTGTGCACCTGGGGCACTTTACAACTCTTCCTTATTTTGTTTCCAAAGAAGTTGTCTCCCCCACAGTTGACCTCTTTTTATTCATGTTTAAACTGATAAATCTACAAACCTACGAAGCTGCGGCTGAAGAAAATCCTTTGCAATACAGGAAGAAATCTCACTACCTTGATCTTGCTTCCTGAATTTCTTCTATTATTATTGTTGTTTCTCTTTGCATCCTACATTTTAATCTTTTGGCATGTATTGCACCCCAGCTTCCACCCTTGGCAGGGCAAAGACCATATA